TTCAATTAGGTGGTCAGCCGGGAACGGGTGATAATGAGGAACCAATGATATCTTCAGGTGAAGAAGATGATAATTTGGATGATTGCTGGGTAGATGTCAGGACAAGACGTCTCCTGACAAGGAGGAACCAACGAGGATACAGTAGGAGAGCAGACCAGCAATTAGACTAATTAGTTACTCTATAAAGGGAGAGATATGACTTTGCACTTTGTCCGGAACAAAGTGTCTATTTGCAAGGAGAACTGAAGAGCACAGTTTGGAGGATTTTGATCTGAAATATCTTGTTGGGATTTGGATTTAATTCGTTGGAACTTCTACTTATTGGAATTATTTTGTGAAGGATTTTGATCTGAAGAATCTTGTTGAGTCTTGGATTTAGTTCGTTGGAACTTTTACTTATTGGAGCTATCTGTGAAAATTCCTGTTTGCTGCCTTTCTTTACAAGGACTGTTGCTTTCAGCCTTATCTGTTTACTTTAAAAGGTGGGACATAACATTTTCCTGTTTGCTGCCTTTCTTTACAAGGACTGCTGCTTTCAGCCTTAACTGTTTATTTTAGAAGGTGGGACATAACAGATTTCCAGAAAAATTGCAGACTACAGGAAACATTTGCGCTTCAGTTTGAGATGCAGACAGCACAGATTCATCTCCAACAGCCTGTGCCTGTGCTCAACAGTGAAGGGATACAGGCCAGAAAACATCCTACAAAAAGCAGTACTCCAATGACAGCTGAAGAGGCTTCTTGGATGAGAGGCGAAATGTCTTTAAAAAAACAGCAAACAGAAAATCCGGTTGCCTCTAGAAACAGCACCTTTGAGATAACCATGACCTGGATGACTGAGAATCTCCATAGACGTTTCTCATTCTCAAGCCATAACATAGGTGCTGTTGCTCTGTTTAGTTTATAAATCATGTTTTTAAGTTAAGAAATAGAAACATTAATTTTGTAAAGTAATAATAAAAAATTTAAGAGAGGACCTACTGAATTTCCTTAATTCAGTAAAAAAATGTAGAAAGAAAGAAATGTCAGTAATACATTTTCTTCCCACTTCAATAACATTGGTATTTCTACAGTCAATGATTCTTATAAAGAATTAGCATGTTTTGTATTGAATTTGCTATATTTATGTCCTTTACATTGAAAAAAGACCAAAACTTGTTTTAAAATAAAAAAACATAGCAATTAGAATTATAAAATATTATACAATAATATTCAAAGTTACTGTCTCCATGGAATCATTTCTATTCACACAAAATAATGACTCCATGGTTTTAAAGTTTCACATAATGATTACTGAGAATGAAACAAAATCCTTTTATTAAATGAGGAATTGCAAATACATTCCACTTATTGTATGGTTACTAAATTTCTCAATTAAGCTCATTAAAAGATACAATTGTGTACAAAATATTCTTATTTACCATAATGCAAACATAATTAGAATGCTTAGAAACTGTTCAAAGTCCATGAGAGACTTTGAGAAAAATATTTAATCTATGTTTGACAGTGAGCAGAGAACAGAGGAAAGGAGAAAAGGAAAGAGAAAAAGGACAAGTGTCATAAGCAAATAATGTGACAATGACATTAGAATATAATCTCACATGTCTATTCAAAATAAAACATTCTGCACTTTAGAAAATCTTTGAAGATATTATAATATTTTAAGGAAGAATCTGGCACAAGAAGAATTTTAAAACAAATAATACAATATTCTGGAATAGTACTTTTGTATATTGTAGTTGTATTCTATAAAACAAAATCATTAGTTAAAAATGCAGCAAAATGTGCCCAAAGATATGAGCCCATAGTCTTTATTCTACGATTATTATCTAAAGGTTAGAATATTGATAATTATATAAATCCTTCCAAGTTTTTGTATGTGATCACAGAATCAAGAACTGAAAGTTATATTAAAGATCATTTAGTCCAACCACTTCCTGAATGAGGATCCACTAGAGTGTAAGTAAAAATGCCTTTGTTCCATAGTGAACAGGTTAACTGTTTCTTAAAGGAAAAATATTAATGAAAATTGAAGTTTTCACACTTCTCCCAGCTGAGTACCATTTCTGTACACCATTGTCTGAGTTATTTATGGATAGATGTAAACATTTTAAAAAATCTGTCTCTATAGAAACTGGTTCAAAGCTAGATTTTAGAGTTTTCTATTATAACATTTACTTCTTTCGCATATCTTAGATATCCAAAATATATATTTGACATGATTGATTACTGACAAGATTTTCATGTTTAATTGCTGTCTTAAACAAATTAATTTAGAACTTTTAAGAATATCAAAGCAATTTATTTCCAATTAAGAGTAGGTCAGATTTTAGCTTTAATTTTTTCACAAGGAAGCCTCCACAAATGTCATGTAATAACATGTATCAATTTTTATGCATTAGTATAACAAACAAAAATTCATTCCAATCTTGTTGAAATAATCTTATTGACAGACATTTATACATAAATATGCATATACTACTTTATTTCATGAAAGTTATCTTTATTTTATAAATTAATTGAATGTTGAAGATAAATACAAGGATTTCATAATTCAAGGCATATATGTAATGTCTAATATAAAAAAGACTCCAAAATATCAAAAAGATTCCAAACATCTGTCAAGTGAAAGTGATCAACATTTGAAAAAAAATTCCAAAATGAAGTTGAGACAATGGCTTTTGTTTTTACAAGTTTGCATAAAATGCCATGGAAACTATTGGAATAAATATAATTTGTTTGTTTGTTTGTCAAACTTATTTGCTGCACATCTTGTGGTTCAGGTGGTTTTTTTTTTTTTCATGTTGTCTTTCAATATTGTCCAATATCAGAGTTTCATAGGAACAAAAGTGTGCTGTTTCAGATGTAGCTAAGCCATAATTACAATGCTGAAAGTTGTGATTCAACTTTGGATAGACATATTGTGTATTCAAGATTTAGATGTAGACCTTAGCTAGACTGCTTTCTTACATGCAGTATATCAAAATCACATGAGTCAGCATCTGTGGTGAGATTCAATTTTTTTTTTACTACCGGTTCTGTGGGCATGGCTCGGTGGGCGTGGCAGGGGAGTGATACTGTAAAATCTCCAGTCAGAAGTGGTATTTGCCAGTTCTCTGAACTACTCAAAATGTCTGCTACCGGTTCTCCAGAACTGGTTAGAACCTGCGGAATACCACCTCTGGTCAGCATGTAACCTGGTGATGTAGAGAAAACCATTCCTGACCAAAACAATGTACTGCTTGCTGATCATATTGATACTTCAATAAGTCTGTCCAATTTTCTAAGTAAATATTGGATTAACTTTTTCATAGATTATTAGTTGTAGAATGACTGATCTGTACTCTTTGTTAGGAGGTATGAGTTTTCATTTGCTACATGAGTCCCACAGCAAATAGGCACATTTTTAGTGCATTTAAAGTTGTCCCAACAATATATAATTCACTCACAAAAGGAAATTAATGATCTCACATAATCTGTAGTACTTGTAGCCAAAGTTTATTAATTAGATTAATAAATTAATAAACTAAAATTCAGTCTGAATACTGTAATTTTGGAAAATCTGAATCATGGTTCAGAAATATATAACCAAGGATGTTGAATGATTTTGAACTAAATCACCTGTGTGATTACATAGCTGTTCTAGTTTGCAATTATGGCCATTTTATGAAGACCAATTTAAGTGGTAGATTGCAGTTTTCATATCATGAGCCATTTCATGAGAAATTACTCTCACGGTAGTTTTATTGATATAATTATCAAAAAACACTTGGATAAAATTGAGATTACTGTCCTATTCCTCAGAAAGATCTCAATATATGGTATATATTTACCAATACATGGTAAAATGTTACAGCTTGAAATGGAAATTAAGAAAATAATGAATATAAAGCTTGTATCTAAACTGACCTGTCTTCTATTGAAACTGATCTCAGTTTCTCAATTTCTGGCAATCTTTTGCTTTAGGTCAGCAGAATGGAACTCCTGTTGGAATTTCCCCTGTGGGTTTTGCAAATACTGTTTGAACAATATGTTATATATTCCTGGGGCCTCATTTTAAATAGCACAAAATAGGACAAAAGGACAAAATAAATTGCTGAAAGATGCTACTCAGTATTATTGATGTAAATGAAGTAAGATAGTATTATTTAACTTGATATACTAGAAATGGCACCAGGGTAAGTTCATATTGCGAACTATTAATGAAAGACACTCTAGAAGAAAAGGGTAAAGTAATTCTGTATAATGACTATAGATACTGACTAAACTCATTTCTGCACTCTAGGGATCACATTGATTGTATAAAGGCTTCTTAGTTCCTTCTAACTATCATTATAAATTGACCATTTCCTCAAAAAGTGATATGCCATTTTCACAATTAATAAGATTACTTATAGCATAAGAAATACATATTTACCCCTCCTTCTTCCCCGTGACACAATATAAGTACTGTCACCATTGGAAAGAGGATGAGAACACACAGTTCAGTGAGTCTTCTTGGGATTTGGTTCCAAAAATATTCTTTATAAGTCAAATATTTCACAATAATATCTATAATACCTATATCTATAATACCTATAATATCTTGCCACAGAATTCTCCATTATCATTTTGAAGACATTTTGCCTACTAGAATAAGCTACTTGTATATATTACCAAGAAACTACTTTCATTTATATAAAAATAAACTTCTAATAAAATATTTCATTATGTGCTTACTCATGACTGACATAAATTGCCTTTCCTTTTTCCTATGTAAAAAAAACCCTGCCAATTTTAAATATTGTGAAAGTATCAATGATACAAAGACATACAGAACAATGATTTCTTTTATTCTATAATTGAATAAAGATGTTTAGAATGCTTAGAGTCATTCTCAATGTGATAAATTCTTTTGATATTGCTTCATGATAATTATAGTTCTTTCATAATTGGGAAATACAAATAAACTGAATCAGCTTGAAGTGAAGGGGAATCACATTCAAATAGGTTTCAGAAAACTATATGTAAAGCTGTACTACTGTGTGCCCATCATTTTCATCTGCAGCCAGCCATCTGATAAAGAAAATATACATATTTTATTGAAAGATAAGGTACATTTGATCAGACTTTCCCATCCTAATTCCATTGATCATGCCAACTGGAAACTATGGGAGTTGTAATCCAACATATCTAGAAGGTACAGTTTGGGGAAGTTCCTATAGACATGAAAATCCATGGGGGTTTTGTGGATTTTATTTGAATTGAATGAACATGCTGTTGACCATTTACTAATCTCTCTGTTCATAGCCTGAAGTTCAGACCTACTCATTCTCAATTTCTCCTGTGATTTTTATTCTTGGAAAGGGAAAAATATTTCCTGGTGTATAATATTAGCAGTAGCAGTGGCACTTAGACATATATAATGTCCCACAGTGCTTTTAGAGCACGCCCTGAGTTGTTTACAGACTCAGGATATTGCCCCCAACAATCTGGGTCCTCAGTGTACTGACCTCAGAAGGATGGAAGGCTGAGTCAACCTTGAGCTGGTCAGGATCAAACTCCAGGCCGCGGGTGGATTTAGCTTGCAACACTGCATTCTAACCACTGTGCCACCAGCCATATTACTAAACATTTTTGTTGAATGTTGTAGCAATAAAAATTTAAACAAAGCAAAACATACCTGTTACAGCTAAAACTGTCGAGTTCATTTGTAGACATATCTGTAATTTCTACCTTTTCAAGAAACCAGCCACTTGCTGTAAAAAAAGAAGAGAGAGAATAAAGATCAGACTGGCCTAAATGAGACCATTTTCAAATGCCTGAATAAAGGCTGCAGGTATATTCATGAAGACATAAAATTATGCAAATCATTTCAGAAATAGGATCAGCTGGCTTAATTGAGTAAGGGTTGGCTACTACATGCTAAACTCTATCAACAAGGCTGTCTAGGCTCAGTTTCCTAATGTCAATCAAGTCAACTAAACAGTGACAAAAGATTAAATATTTTTTACGTGCTACCCACCCAGTGACAAAAATATGAGAGGTGAAGTAGGCAAGCTTTTTGACTCTCTACAATATCATTAAGTAGAATTATCCTGTGAGATAAATTCAGCTGAATGACAAGAGGCAGCAGGAAGTCAGCTAGCAGGAAACATAATTCACAGTTATGTGGGTTGCTTGTTTAACAACCTGCACTATCCTCACTTAATGACAGTAATTGGGACTGCTGGAACTGCCATTGCTAAATGCAAAGGTCACATTTTGTTAAAATACTATTTTTTTTATTAAGGATTTCAAATACAAAGATAAAATAATGCAAACCAAGGATAAACCCAGTTTTACCTTGTGGTAAGATGGAAAGCTAATACATTTTACAAATAAATAAATAATATAAAAGGTAAAGAAGAATAAAAAGTGCAGAGGAAAATAAAACAATAAAATAATGAAAGAATAAAGTTCTATAAAGGAATGACTCATCCTCCCTCCAGACAAGTATAATCAACTTCTGTAACTTAATCTTTTCTTTAGCCTTTTAATAAAAAATCTTCCTATATTTCATATCTTATCAATAAACAAATTGCAAAATCTCATCATTCAGTCCAAATCAACAAAAGTCCATTAAGAGCTATCAGAAATAATAACATAAATTACCTGTAATTTTGCATCCCAACCTATCATTTTTTTGTGAAAAATAAAACAAATATCTTCCCATACTATCTTTTAGTTATAAACACAGCCTCATTTTTCTATGGCAGAAACAATGGCAAACTGTAGATGGGTCCACTACAGATGGCTGCAGTAGAAAGAGTAGTTGGTGAATGGATTGGCTCTTCAGAACTCTTCTCCAGATCAAGGAGAGGGCTGGGATACAAATCCTGGGATTGTTTGCTCCATACAGAAGCTTCTAAATAGCATTCTGGTGGGTTTTATTGCTGTGGGAACCAGAGGGAAAATCATCTTGGCTAAGCCACAATCAATGCCTTCAATTAGACACCGAGTGCTCCTATATTATCTCTCTTAATTGCTTTAGGAAATTGCTTGTTACTGGTTTTTTTGGATGTTAAGAACATCCAAAGAAGGGCAAGTTTCAGTACAGTGGGAAAAGAAGTTGACTAGAGCAAACCAGTCAGAACTAAAGATTACAACTAAAAGAGAAGAGACCCATTAAAACAACAGAGCAATATTGACTATTGAAGAAATCAAGAATATTCCTTCCTTCCTTCCTTCCTTCCTTCCTTCCTTCCTTCCTTCCTTCCTTC